ATCCGGATAATCTATTTAATTATTTAAAATTAATTAGTAAATATCAATGATTATCATTTTAAAAAATTTGATTAGTAAAAACATTACTTGAGATATTACCACAACCAAAATTCAACGATATTAATATTTGATTGCTTAAAAAAAATCAAATCAAAACTTTGTCTCTAATAGTGTCAATAATTGGAGCTTTTTACCTTATAAAAAAATTTTTTTTAATTAAATCAAAAAAATAAAATCCTTCAAAATAATTTCCTCGATTCAATGAAATTTTTTTTTGCGTATCGCGTAAAATTGACCTTAATAAGTTAAAAAGCATGCCAATGCCAGTGAATCATAAAAAAATGTCAGCCGGCCTAACTTAGAAAATAAAGATAAAAAATTCGGTAGCTTGATCTCATCTCTGGGTAATTGCTGGCTCCGATTGCGCTGACTGACTATACCAAGTACGTGACTAGTTACACGTGCCATTACAAGTACACTCGGTAAACCGATCGCTGCAGATAGTTGCGCAATCGCAATAACAAAGTACACAAAGTTTTTTAAATATTAGTTACTTAGCTAATAATAAACCTGCGATATGTACTCAGCTATTATACACTTTTTCAAATCACATTAAACATTTGAATATTAAATATTTTCTTTCCCTAAAAAGGGGTCAAGATCGATTATTAATATATTCTTCTTTCGTCATTTGTATTTTTATCTACTCGATAATAAATATATCATTATTATTATTCAATAAAGTTTGTCATTATATGCAAAAACAGAAAATTACTAGTTTCGCTTAAATTTATCGTCAATTAAGTGACGAAATATATTTTTTTAAATTCCTTCGCTGATAAACACTTTGCTAGCGTTATTTTACTTTATTGTATTACTTTAAATATTTATTTATAACTTTATTTTACTGAAGTTAAATATTTGTTCGCGGTGAATCATGTAACGAATTACGATTGCAATAAATGATACAAACGACCGATAAATACAAGTTAAGTTCGATATTTCAAGTAAATACCGCTGGAATTTCTACAAGCTGACAAAGATAAAAATAATAAAGGAAATACAGGTGACTAATGAGTAAAATACAACAGAAATCATTTTTTATTATTAAAACTTTAATTATTTTAGTTTTTTTTTTTTTTCTAAGAAATTGTTTTATAACAGTAAGAAGTAAGCAATTTAATTTTTTTTTAAAAAGTATGAATAGTGCAATGAGTAATAGTGCAATAAATAATTATTTATCAAAAAAAAAAAATATTGTAAAATTTTACTTCAATTTTATGAACAAGATTCAAAATTTTGTAATTTTAATTATTTGTAAACTTATTAAGGACACGGAAAAAAGTAAACTGTAATAAAAAATAGTCGATTTAATAATAAGTGATGATAAACTGAAAAAAATTACAATTTCAAACAGTAAAATCGTGATTTTAACGATCACTTTATAATATTTATCATTTAAATGCGACAATTTATTATTTACATAGAAGAAAATACTATTTCAAACTGTAATATTCGCTATATAAAAGTCGGAAATGTTAAAGTATAATAATTAAGAATTTTGACTTTGATATTTATGATTTCGTACCTAAAAAATGATCTTATGATATGTCAAAAATATAAACTACAGTTACTAAATTTCTATACAAGCAACGTCAATATTTACAAAGTAAAATGGTAAATTTTAAACGCAACGCTAAAAATCAAACTATACACGCAGAAAAAAATTTTGTTAAGATAACCTAAGATGTGTTATGGTAACAAATGAATTTGTAAACATAGGGATAACAAATTATATGTTAAAATAACAAAGTTTAGGTTATAACAAGTTATTGATATGTTATAACAACAAAAAAGTTTTGTTACTACAGCAAAATCATTAAGTTGATTCGACAAAATACTTTAGTTGGTATAACAATTTTTTTTGTTGAAATAGCAAAATTATTCTATTAAAATAACAAAGAGAGTTTGTTGGAGTAACAAAGACAATTTGTTGAAGTAATAGAGAGAATTTGTAATAATAACAATAAGAATTTGTTGCAATAACAAATAAATTTGTTACAGTAAATTTTATAAGAATACATTTAAAACTACGCTATAATCAGCTATATAGCTGATTTGGAAAATATTTTGGCAACAAATTAGTTTTGTTATTGCAACAAAATCACTTTGTGATAGCAACAAATTGATTTTGTGATTTAACAAACTGGTTTGTTAGTACAACTTGAAACATTTTGTTAATGCACTTAATGGATTTATTGCTCCAACTACATTCAGTTTTTTACAACATATTTTTCAGTTATCCCGTCTTTTGTTATTTCAACAAAATTGTTTTATGCATGTAATTATTGATTTGCTTGGACTGGTAAAATATATATTTTAAGAGTAGAATTTTTACTTTTTCAAATGTTAAATTATCCGAATGTAAAACCTTCCCCTTCTCCTCATAGTATAGACTATATATTAAAACGGCAATTTTTACCGTTTAAAACTGTAATTTTTTAAGATAAGAGAGTCGTTATTTACTATAGTGACAACTAATCACATTTTCGATATTAAATTATAAATAGTGGCTTTTACACCTTCTACATTAAGTTTTGTAATATTTACATTAGTGCCACCTCGATTTTCACTGTACTGTTTGAAACTATAAAAATTAACCGGAATCCGAGTGAATTTTAGTTTACTTTTTTCCGTGAACCGGTGAAAATATAATAATTTTATATTTATGTAGCGAAATGTAAATAATTATATTATTCCTCTACTGAGTGCAAGATTTGAATGTGTTAAAGTCAATGGGTCTATTGCGGGTAGGATTTCGAGCTCTTCAATATGAGATACCCAAGTTTAAGTAACAAAAGACAAATTACTCTTCTTTCCAACTTAAGCAATCAAAATTTTAAGCGCTTGTCACTAAATAAGACCATTTTTTTCTACAAAAGATCTTTTTTTAACACGCTTTTATTAGCTTCGCCTGTATTTATGTATCTGTCTATGTAACGAATCTTTGAACTGGATTTTCGGGCACCTTCAAAACCTAGGATTAAATTAAAACTTTGCACACTTATCAAGGACCGATGACAATACAATTATTTAATAAGTTTGTCCGATTATCCTGACCCAGGATCGACAGGATTTCCGGTTTTTTATATCCGAAGACACGGCAGTGCCGAGCGCCAAGTACTAACGCAAGTACTAAGACATTGATAGGTTAATATTTGAGACGAGCATATGACTAAGGTTAGGATCAACTAGGGACCTTTCGTACGTTTTACAATTTTTAAAAATTATTGTTTGAAAAAGTAAAATCCACGCTTTGACGGTAAATCGAACTAAAAAGTACAAAATAAATAATTGTTTAAAAAAGTTTAAAACGCGCTTTAATAAAAAACCAAACTAAAAAATAGAAAATAATCTTCAATGAGTTTTAAATAAGAATAGTGATTAAAAAAGCGTAGTTTGGTTTTTATTATTTCTCACTTAAAAATAAAAAAAAATAAATTTATTTAGATAGTTTAAACAGAATAACAGCAGCTAGATAGAAGGCGACTATTTTAAAATTTTCTTTTATATTTTATTACCCTCCTGCTCTGTAGATGTCTACTCTAGCCTCCTCGTTCTTTACCTTTCTCATCTTGTCTTATAGTCACCTGGTTTTTTTACACCAGACAAGACTATTGCAACTTGATCTAGTTTCTCTAAGCTGAAAATACTCGTATTTTGTGATCCCACTTGGGACAAGCGTACAGTAGATAAAAGACGGCATCAATCATTTTATTTTTATTTATCGCTAGTAAAATTCCTTTTTAGATTAAATTTATTTGAATAACGTTGAGATGAATTATTTTATTTTATCATCACCGCTTTTACTATTGTTTTATTTCTAGATACTTTTTTTTACTGCTGCAAATTTTTTAAAAAAATACTTGAGAATTGATGCATTTTAAATTTGCAAAAGATCAACAAACAATGCAAACGCTTATGATGTAAATTTTTATAATTAAGTTGCTTACTGAAAGTAATTTTATCCGAGTTAATTGCGCACCAAAAGAGAATAATATTGAATTAGCTATAAAAATGTAATTTTATGCAGTTACACTCATTTCAAATAGCGTACGATGTTATTTTTCATTAAAATTAACTACTACCATTTCATTATAATAATCATATTCTATCCTATCATTACTATATCTCCGTGATCTGTTTATAAATATTTTATTTTAATTTAATAGAAAGAAGAAATAAGTAATAAGCATATCTAACTTTTTTTATCAATAATATTAATGAGAAATTTATTTTAATTTATAAGTTTGTTTTGATTATAATTATCAATAGATACTTTACATTTATATATACGTTCTAATTTCTATATTAAATATTGACTTTTGTTTCATTGTAATGTACTTTTTTAATTATTGACGTTTTTAAAGATATAAATTCATCCCAATGTTACACTCATCAAAAGCTTTCATTTGAGTACCAACATGCATTTTCGATATATTTTTCATATATACATATATATAATATATATTTTAAAGATATAAGCTCATCCCGATGTTATATCTATCAAGACCTTTCATTTGAGTACCCACATGCATTTTTGATATATTTTTCATATATTCATATATATAATATATATAAATATATAAAATATATGAAAAATTGATGTGGGTACTCAAATAAAAGGTCTTTATGAGCGTAACATCGGGATGAACTTATATCTTTAAAAATGTCAATAGTTCACGAGATACAAGGTCATTTCTTAATTATGTATAAAAACCCATTTTATCATATAAAAAAAATAATAATAATAATGCTCAATTTTTTTCTAAAAAAATTACTAAAATTGTTATTGTTATTATTTTAATTTAAAATTCATAAGACAGAAATTTTTCGTCACTTAAAAGGTCAATTTAAAATTCCAGAAAGTTCTTACAATTTTATCCAAAATTATAAGATTAAATAATATAATCTATCCGATAATCTAATAAAATACTCTTTTGAATGTTATAATTATAATTAATATCTATAAAAATAATCTTGAATATATATTTAAATTTTCAGATTATCTGCACAGTTTAGCCAACTACGATTTCCCCGATTTCGGTAAAAAATCCCCGAAGAGAAACGAAAGCAATCAAGTATCTCAAAGATATAAATCAAGAAACGATGAATCACCTCACGAGGAGCAAACAATGTACGTCATTGAATTCGAGTCCGAGCCGAGGGAAAGAGGAATGAACAATGGAAATAAAGACGGTGATCATGATTTAGGTAATTAATTAATTAAATAATAATAAATTGTTGATTTAGCGTTGAAATATCTAACTATTCTCGATTGAAACAAAGTATACAAAGTGGTTTAGTTCTCAGAGTCTTTGACTGGAACTCGGAACGCAATAGAATTAAATAAGAAGGTTCTGGTCTCGGGGAGTGTAAAAACTGGTTCGTTGTATATATAATTGTCTATACAACTAAAGCGACAACCAACAACCAGCAACTAAACTGACTCCAGACGTTTCGACTATTTTTAAGTTTGCTCAGCCGGTTAAGTCCTAAAAGAAAAAAATATTATTATATTTAAATTTTCTACACACGTACCGCAACTCAAACATTATCATATTTTTTTTTACTTGTTGAAAAAATATTGAAAAACCTGTTTCTCTTTTATTGAAGTCATTTTTTTATTGTGGATACCCGAGGTCAGGGTTCTGGGGAAAAAATGAAATAAAAGTAAGCTTGTATTTGTATTCAATGAAAAGAATTTATTGATAAGAATAAAAAGAAAAAATTTTTTAATAGAAAAATATCAATAGTTACTTTTTGGTTAATTTAAAGCTAACATTTTATACTGAAATTTTTTAATTTTTTTAAGCTTACAATAATAAAAAAAGAAAATAGAACTTTTGTATTAATATAAAAGTGATAAAAATTAAAAAAAAGTTGTTAATTTCTAAGATTCATTTAGAATTTATTTAAAATTGCGCGGGCTCTGCGCGCATGCGCCGGAACGGTTCCAGCGCATGCGCAGAACTAAATTGGAGTTATAAAGATACTAACCTTTGATTTCTTCGAAATTTGAAGTTATTATAATCATTTTTGTATTAATATAAAAGTGATGAAAATTAAAAAAAAGTTGTTAATTTCTAAGATTCTTTTTTTAAAATTGCGCGGGCTCTGCGCGCATGCGCCGGAACGGTTCCAGCGCATGCGCAGATCTAAAATGATGGTATAAAGATACTAACCTTTGATTTCTTCGAAATTTGAAGTTATTATAATTATTTTTAACTATTTTCAAACAAAGTAACTTATATTTCACCTAAAAAAAATTTTTTTTCAATTAAGGAGATCCAAGCGAAGTGGTCAAATTTTTAAAACTTCCTGAAAATTTGTAAATTCAATCTACCTAGCCTAATAATTAATAATAAAATTAAAAAAACAGTAATAAAAATTTTATTTTCATTGAATTTAATTAAAAAAATAACCTTTCGATTAAAACAATAAAAAAGTAGCTTTCCGAACATATTACGGAGATATTTTACTTGGATCTCCTTAATGTACTCAATACTATTAATTAATTTTTTTGAGTAAACTAATTAATAAAAAAATGATAATAATAATTTTTTTAGAAATATTAATAATAATAAATTGATTTTAGACGTAGATAAGCACAGTCCATTGGACCCTTGGTCAATAGTCTGGTACATAGGATCATTTGGTGGATTAGTGGCATTTTTCCTGATCGTAAGCTGCTCCGAATGGTGCTGCAGACGTGGAGCACGTACACTGGGTACACCTTACGGCGTGCCACGTACTGGAGAAGCTGTTAATTCTAGTCGTGGAGTTACCGAGACACCACCTCCGCCTTATCATCTATTTGCACCGCCTCCGTACGATTCAGTAAACTACGCTGACCTAGTGGACAAAGCGTCGGGCGAGAAGCTGAATATTTATGTCATCTCAGTCCCAGTTCAATCCAATATTCCTGTACAGCCTCCGACGGCGTAGGATTTATCTGTCTTATAAGTCTAATTATAATCACAATATAAATACTAATTATAATGGTAAGAATAAGTCTTTAGAAGGAATTCGGCAATGATCCACTTGGACTATTATTTCTATTTTTTTTTTAATTTAATGTTTTAGTCCGTTGGATCCAATACTTTCTAGAAAACAGTCAGAAATTATTGACGCAGATAATTATTGTTACTTTCAATTTTTTTTTCTTTTTTTTTTTTTTTTGTCAATTTCGGTGATTTTATGTATATTTTAGAGGTTGTATCAAACTATATCTTTTTTGACATTGCGAGTGCAAACTTTTGCCACTAGATGGCGTAATAAGACCATACTATACATTTTTAGTCTTCTCAAAATCATAAACTAGTCGAACTGACTTTACTCTAGAAAGTATCCACTTTATTATTTCTTCTCTTTTTTATTTTACTAAATAGAGAAATAACAGGTGATAAATCATTATAATTTTTTTTTTTTTAATAGTTATAATTTGGTAATTTTTATTTAATAATTATAAATAAAATTTTCTTCTCAGAATTTAGTTAAAATTTTGAACCTCAAAATTAATTATTAAAATTTTAAATAAGAATAAAGAAGTAAAAAAATTACAGTTTTATTCAGAGAAAAATTTATTTTATTTAAATTAATGAATATTTTGGTCATTTTATAATAATTTAATTATAAAAACTCAAATAAAATTGTTGAAGGTATATTATTAGAGGTTTTATTAATTGCGATTGACGCGCAGCTCTGGTGGCGAAATTTGTAAATAAAAATTAATGTATATGGCGTTTGTTAAAATTAATATAAAAAATTGTTGAAGTAATATAAAATAATTAAATTATTATTTACAAATTATGAAATTTTTATTCTTTTTAAATTTTTTAAACTAGAAAAATTTATAAAGAAGAAATAGTTGACAAAAATCAAAGTAAAGAAGAAAAATAAAAAAAAAATTGAAATAGAGAAGAAATTGTTTCAAAAAATAAAAATCAAGAAGAAATAGTTAAAAAATCTAAAAATAATGAGGAAATAATTTTAAAAAATTAAAATAAAGAAGAAATAGTTGTTAACAATTGAAATAAAGAAAAAAAAATAAAAATAAATGAAAATAAAGAAGAAATAGTTTTAAAATAAAGAAGAAAAATTTTTTAAATCTAAAAAATAATAAAAAATATAAAAAGAAGATGATAAATAAGAAATATTGAACAACTTGTGACATACCTTGACATTAAATTAAAGCCTGATATTTCTCTATTTTATTTTGTAAAAAAAAAAGAATTATAAATGTGTGTTTGTATTATTTTAAACTCTCGTTAGTTGAATGTATTAATTATTTAAGAGGAGATAGAGATAAGATAAGGAAGATGATGTGGATTAAATGTTGTCAAAAAAGCGAGGCGCTTAGATTATAAGCGAGCGTTTTTGTGTATGTGAGAGTGTGAGTGTGAGTGAGAGCAGAAATGTATATGTATCATAAAATAATGAAGAAAAAATTAATAAGACGACGACCCCTTTATTTGGCCTCAATCTCGGGATCTATCAAGGCCCCAATTGCGCCCAATTGTACAGATATATATCAGACGACTGCCATGGAAACTGCTGAAAAAATATATATTACGTACAAGTCAAATAGACGTATTTTTATTAGCAATAATAAACGCGAGGATAAGTGTGTAAGTAGGTGGAATACGATGAGTGTGTGCTTTAGGTAAGTGGGTGTAGATAGACGAGCGTGTAGCGTGTTATGTGTCGTATGTGGGATAATGTTATATGAGATTGTTGATAATTGACCGTATTAAATGTGTAAATGTCAATTATTATTGTTCATACCATTCGATTGTTATTTATTTTTTATACTTTTTATAAATAAAAATTAATAAAAATTAATGTGTCTTGTTGTTATTTTTGTTTTTATTTCTTCCCTAGGTATTTCATTGTTTTTTTTTCAATTTTTTGGTGTGAAAATCAAAGAGGATTGTTTTGTTTAATTTATTAAAATTTATTTAAAAATTATTAAGAGCTGAAGATTACTTTTGATTTTTTAAAGAAGAAATTTTGTTAATAAATATTTTTGTTTTATGGAAAAAACCAATTGTTATATACAATTGTTGCCTTGAAAAAAAATAAAATTCATTTTTAGTATTTGCAAAGAAATTTTTTTTTTATAAATTTATTAAAAAGAATTTTTTAAACAAAAAAAAAGTTAGTCCTAAAATAAAAAAAAAAATTCTTCTAAAGAAAATATTTGTTTTTAAAGATTATGCCCACTTAAATAGAAGAAAAATTTTTTAAACTAATTATTAAATAAGGTAAAAGCCCTAATTATTGACACTTAGAGACAAAGTTTTGATTTAATTTTTTTTAATTAATTAGAATTTAATAAAAATTTATATGAGGGTTATTCTTGTAAAAGCCCTAATTATTGACACTTAGAGACAAAGTTTTGATTTAATTTTTTTTAATTAATTAGAATTTAATAAAAATTTATATGAGGGTTATTCTTCTTACAGATGATTAAATATATTTAAAAATAATTTAGGGTGTCAATATTTAGACTCCTGTCAATAATTAGGGCTTTTACCTTAATAGTTTATTTTAAAGACATTTTGACATTTAAAAAAGGTATATTAAAAAATAAAATCAAGTTTTATTTATTATTTTATTTTATTTAAGAAATAAATTAGTACACAAAAAATATTTTAGAAACGTTTCACTTTTAGTTCTTCAAAATTTCTATATGTGAATTCTTTTATAATTTTATATTTTTTGTAAGAATCTGGCTGTTAAAAAAAATCCTTAAATTTGTTACTTTGAGCTTCTTAAAAAAAAAATCAATATTTTATGTTGAAAATCCGTCACAAAATCTTTTGTAAAAAATTAATTTTACTGATTTTTAAAATTTTATTTAGAAATTTTATTGGATGGTATTATTTCTTCAAAGAAATAAGTAGATAAATTTTTTGGACGGGAGTTAACAAATTTTTGAACCTACTTACATATGAGAAGTTTTCCTCATCTTCGCCCTCTATCGAGGTGCGGGCAAGCTCAACAATTGACGGAATTTTTTAAGATTTTAGAAAGTAATTACTTACTTATTTTTACTGCCTCGAGTTTTATCAATTTATTATTCAAATAATTTTCGAAGAATTTTTTTAAAATAATTTTATGTCACAAAATTAAAGTTTTATATTTTTGAATAATAATAATAATAATTTCAATATAATTTATTAAAAAAATTTTTTTTAATAATTTTATCTCAAATTTCTGAATTTTTTAACCAAAATAAAAATAATAAAAAATTAAATTACAAGAAACTATTCTTAAAAAAATAATTGAATTTTCTAAAATAAAAACACATAAACAATAAAAACATACCTAAAAAGTTTAACAAAATAAATAAATAATTACTCTCTCTAGAGTAATAAAACCCGCAACTATATTATGTACAGCAATTACCTTTTCTTCTTCTGAGTAAATAAATCCCGCAATATTCAGTTTATTACAGCTCTAAAAATCCCCTAAAACTTTTAAAAAACCCGCGGGAAAGTTTACGTCAGAAAAGCGAACTAATAAAAATAAAAACAAACGAGTGTCGTCATCCTCAGTGTCATAAATAATTCTAATAATTTTCTCTTTAGTATTTTCTGAGTCTAAATTTAAAAGTTGTGTTAAAAAAAAATGATTTGACACTTGAAAAAAAATTAAATGAAATGATTAACTTACCAAAACTCAAATCTCAAACTTTTAGGATCAAGATTATTAAACGCAAAAGCTATAAAATAAGATATTACTCCAACTGCATTAAAATAACCTCTAATGGAATACTTGGGTGAGGTAATAGCTCTGGGTATCGACAGCGTTATCCTGGTGGTGTGTCTTCGCCAGTATTTTCATTGTCGGCTGGCAGTAAATTCTGTCAAGGTAATTACCTAAAAACTAATTACTGTTCATTTTAATGTGACATTAAAAATTAACAAACATTTTAGAGCTTTTAATTTTTTTAATCAATAAAAATTAAATTTTTTTTTTTATTAATTTTTTTTCAATAAAAAATTTGTAAATGTTGGAAAAATTATTAAAATTAATTTAGCAGACATTAAATAATTTTTTTAACAAAAAATTTGACTTGTAAAAATTTTTAAAAATAAAAAATGCAATTTTTCAAAAATAACTTTTTAAATCAAATTTTATTGTTAAAAAAATTGAAAAATTGTCAGGTGATTGCTAATTTTAATATCAAATTTTCTACATGTAAAATTTTTTTTAAATAAAATTTTTTAAATGTCAGCTAACTTAATTTGCATAGTTTTAAGATACAAAAATTATCAATCACTTGGCAATTTTTAATCAATAAAAATTATGAGTAAAAAAATTGCAATAACAATTTTTTAAAATTATAATTATGAATGTTTATTATCAATAGTTACCAAAATATTTTAGTCTATTTCAGAATGTCCAGATCTGCGATGTCGGCGTTAACTTACATGACATTGTCAAGTCTTCAGAGACGGACAAATTTAATTACGTCGCGTTCCGTGGGATCGTAAAACCTCTCAGCAAACCTCTTAATGGCATCAACAACCCAGCTATCACTGGAGTCATCCAGAGACTTATTGTCAAGGAACATGTAGTTGCTAGAACTACTGCTGGATTCTGGTAAATTTTTTACAATAATTTATTTGTTAGAAAAATATTTTAAATTGCACTGTAATTTCTTAAATATTGACATTTTTTAAGATATAAACTCAATTCGATGTTACACTCATCAAAAGCTTTCATTTGAGTACCCACATGCATTTTTTATATATTTCTCATATATACATATATATAATATATATAAATATATAAAATATATGAAAAATTGATGTGGGTACTCAAATGAAAAGTCTCGATGAGTGTAACATTAATGTGAGCTTATATATCGTTAAAAATGTCAATAGTTCATAAGATACAAAGTCATTTCTTAATTATGTATCTAGAGATAGAGCATTTTCGAATGCAACCTAAGTATATTTCATCATAAATTGACTATCGAAGAGAATGATATGAAACCTTGAAAAGGCACAAATTCACATATACACATATATATATAATATAATAAAATATATGAAAAATTGATGTGGGTACTCAAATGAAAAGTCTCGATGAGTGTATCATCATAATGAGCTTATATCTTTAAAAATGTCAATAGTTCATAAGATACAAGGTCATTTCTTAATTATTGACATTTTTTAAGATATAAACTCATTTCGATGTTACACTCATCGAGACCTTTCATTTAAGTACCCACATGGCATTTTTTATATATTTTATATATATATAGTATTTGTGAAATATATAAATATATAAAATATATGAAAAATTGATGTGGGTATTCAAATGAAAGCTCTCGATGAGTGTAAAATCGAAATGAGCTTATATCTTTAAAAATGTCAATATTTCACAAGATACACGGTAATTTCTTAATTATGTATCTAGAGATATTTTCGAATGCAGCCTAAATACTTATCATCAATTTCAAATCAAGACCTTTGCTATGACATTAAATTTCACTAAAATTTTTTTTATTCTCTTAATAATATAGATGATTTTTTCTATTATCAAAAAAATTTTTTTAGCTATAATTTATTTATAAATTATCAGATGTAAGATAATTCAAGTATCATTGAAATAAGGTAGTAAATTAATTTTATTAATTATTTTTTTCTATTAAATAGGTCAAATGAAGAACGTATAGTACAAGACGTCTACAATACAGTACCTTTTGCTCTCCAGAATGGATCCGCTAAAGTGGAAGTAACCGATGCATTGTCTGCGGAAATTCTTGACATGGATGTATTATGTGATGAATTTAAACCAAATGCCCCGACTGTTGCTGATCTTATCTGGGAGTTTTTTACTGGTATTTATTTTTAGATTTTTTTTAGAGAAAATTTCCCAGGAATATTCATTAACTATTATCTAATTTATTAAAATTTTTTATAATATTAAATCAATCAAAAATGGATAATTTTTAATAAAAAAAAATTCTTTTATTAATTTTTATTGAATTATAAAATTTCCAACATTAAAAATTCAATTTCTTATCAGCAATTTTTTAAGTAGAATAATAAATACTGTTTTTTTTTTTTTTTTTTACTTTGTATTTTAATAGGATTCCGTCAACGAGGAATGCAATCAACTGAAGAAATGTTGCGAGAAGGAGTTACGATGACAGGAGTAGGAGAACTAACACTAGACAAAGCTGGAAATTTAACATTACAGCCTCCAATAGATGGTACTCCTTTTTATTTAACAACAATGAATGTCGGATCCTTATTACGAAAATTGGATGAACGGCGAAGAGTTTACAAGTTTGTTTTTTAATAATTTAAAAAAAAAATTTTTTTTTTTTTAATTATTGTTTACTAAAAATGAATAAAAAAAAATTGCAGATGCTTGTGTATAATTTTCGGGACCGTAGGCCTAGTAGTCGGAGGAATGGTGGTTTGTAAGTACCGAAGAGCTCGCAAGGAAAAAAGAATATCCGAGGAGAAGCGACAGAATTTGGAAGAGTCAAGAAAAAAGCGTCGCCAGAGAGTGAGAGACATTGAATTGCGCGAAGATCAAATTTGCGTGGTGTGCAAAGAGAACCCAAGAGAAGTTATTTTGTTACCCTGTGGACATGTTTGCTTGTGTGAAGATTGCTCAGCAAGTATCAACGATTATTGTCCTGGTTGTCGGGCGGTGATTGAGCAAAAGAACGCTGCTTATATCATTTGACGAATTTTTTTTTTTAGACGTTTAAAATTTAATTGTAATTTGTAACATAAATTATTAATTAAAAATTTAGATTACATTGTATGAGTTGGATCTGTACAAAAATTTGTATGATATGAATTATATATTTAATTATAAATTAATTGTTGAAAAATTTGTTTAGTTCATTTTTGTTGTGTAAGTGCCTTGAAAAGTCAATTCAAGTCAAGATCTTTGCAATTACACAAAATTTACGGGGCATCTGAGTGATCCGAACGGAAATGTAGCCAATGTAATAATTGTAAAGGAATTCAAAAAGTAACTTGCTCTCTAACAATAAGTTATATACATTTAATACTTCATACATAACACTTAATATATGTCAAATAATAGTAAATTCTATATAATAAAATACACACATTAAAACATTTAGATATCATATTTATGAAAAAAATTAAACTGTAACCCATGAAACATTACAAAAGAACGACAATTGATCTGTCTTCTAAGTCTTCTAAGTCATAAGAAATTAGTTGTCGGTAAGGTAAATTTTTTTAGATATAACTGGCGGTGGAGGAAATTTAAATTATATAATCTAAATTCAAACACAACCTTTTTATACTAAATAAGAATAATTCTTCTTGAAAATATTTATTGTTTTTATTTATTAAAATATACAAATATTGATTACTAAAATAAAACAAAAAATCGCTTATTTAATGAGAAATTATTTATTTTTCTTTATAAAGTAATTTTTTTTTAATTATATAAAATATTAAAATCAAACTGTTTTTTATTTGTTTCAACTTAAACTATTATTTATTTATACACCTCAACATTTATCAATAATTACGTTCTTGTCATATGAATATTATAAAACAAACAATAATTTTTTATATATATGTAATTAGAATAACATAAAAAGAAAAAATTATTTATTTAAATATAATTCGTTTAAACTTAGATTAAAGATAAAAAAATATAGGAATATCAGATATAATTAGTAAGTTCAAAAATATTAAAAAATTAAAAAAAAAAAAGATGTTTTTGTTCCTTTAATATCGATAAATTTTGAGAAAGTGTATAAATAAATAATAATTTAAGTTGAAACAAATAAAAAACAGTTTGATTTTAATATTTTATAGAATTAAAAAAAAAAAAAAAAAAAATACTTTATAAAGAAAAATAAATAATTTCCCATTAAATAAGCAATTTTTTGTTTTATTTTAGTAATCAATATTTAAATATTTTAATAAATAAAAACAATAAATATTTTCAAGAAGAATTATTCTTATTTAGAATAAAAAGGTTGTGTTTGAATTTAAATTATATAATTTAAATTTCCTCCACCGCCAGTTACCTAAAAAAATTTACCTTACCGACAACTAATTTCTTACTTATGACTTAGAAGACTTAGAAGACAGATCAATTGTCGTTCTTTTGTAATGTTACAGTTCATGGGTTACAGTTTAATTTTTTTCATAAATATGATATTTAAATGTTTTAATGTGTGTATTTTATCATATAGAATTTACTATTATTTGACATACATTAAGTGTTATGTAAGAAGTATTAAATGTATATAACTTGTTAAAGAGCAAGTTACTTTTTGAATTCCTTGACAATAATTACATTGGCTACATTTCCGTTCGGATAACTCAGATGACCCCCTTCTAAAATACAGTTGTAATGGTTTTGTGGCTCCACCTACTGTCGTATATTAAAATTCTAAACTAAAGACCAACTACTTATGGGCGCTAAGTTCAGTATTTAGTATACTAGCTATTTAGATGGTAGAATAACAGAGTTAAGTAGTGCCAACTTCGAAATAATAAAATTCGCCCTAAATTTGTAAAATCTCTCGTAGAATCGAAAACAGGCGCAAGTAAAAATTTTCAAACTCGCGATTAGTTAAATAATTGTTAAGACCCAACATTTTTTTGTAATATATGTATAATTGGTAAAAAGAAACTTATTAACAATGGTGTAAAGTGTTAGTGTCTTAGTAATAATAAAAAATATAGAGCTAAATATGTAAAGAGGTTAGGTTGACATATAATCAGCGATTCAAGACACGTTGT